AAATGAAGCATTCCCAGCACCTCAGCTGCAGCCAATAATGTTCACTCCCTGAACTCCCCTACCCACCTCCCCAAGATTTATATAGCCCTTATTTCATCCAAGAAAGTGCTGCCACATCACTGGAAAAGCTTTGTTGCTGTATCCCCAGGAGAGCTGTGACACTCAAAGGGCTGTAAAAGAGCTGAGATGCTAAAAGATCTGTATCAGAGAAGGCTTTCTCTCTCTGGGCCTTCACCACTGGACTGAGATCCTGCAAACCCACCTGCCTGGCTGACCTTCATTCCTTTGTGTCCTGCACCTGAATGCATCAGTGCCTGGATTCCCTACAGAGGAGATGCAGACCCCAGGTTCCAGATTGACAGGTTGAATTAGCAGATGGGGCTAGACATTTCAGTCATTTGTTCTCTACGTTTTGAGTAGTTATAGTTCTTTGTAGTAGCCTCCAACTGCTTCAAAAGCAGTTCAACGGATGCTCTTTTGATGAGAAGTGGGAGCTGTACTTATATGTAAGTAGAAAGATAGATAATTAGAATCCAGTTAGAAACTATACATTTATTTAGGAAAATGGCAGTAGTAGGCTCTCCTCTAGGGTCTATGACCTCCCCAGGCATGGGTAGTTGGCTCAGTTTACAGTACCCAGTGCCAGGCATGAGCACTTAACAGACATTTGGTGCATTTAGATAGCTGTTGTTTAGCTCCAAGATGTTAGAGTCGCTATTGCACCATTGAGAGTCTCTTCCTGGGTGGTCATTATTATGGTTTATAGGGACTTTACCACTTGACATGACTATTGATTATTTTTCTGTTGACAACTTGTATAGCATCTTCTCGTTCATAAAAAGGTAGTCCTCAAGGAAGTCTTCCAGTTCAGGGCAAGTGCAGTTTCCCCAAGACCTTTGTCCAGCATTTGTGGAGTCTCAGCAATAGGGACTTACCAACCATGAGAAATGGCAATAGCCCGTGTAGTTCCGTGTGCCTTAGACCCCTCTGACCAACAACTGAATGGAGCTTTCCTTTTCTGGCACTGGGTATTTGTTAGTTCATGACTCTTGAGTGAAACATTATCTCCACGTGTGGAATAACTCCATTTTATGTGAATAATATAGTTGTAAATAAGCTTATAAAATGTTTACCCCTTTCCAAACATCCTTAATGTTTTTATCATTCCTGCCTGACTCCTCTTCTGTGTTACCCTTTACCCTTCTCCGGTTAAGTCTCTCTCCTACTCTTCCTCTTTATAGCAACCCTGTCCTTTATAGATATCCCATGTGCATACCTATCCTTAGCACACACCCATTACCATATTCCATGTATCCAAGTTGCAGTGCGCCCTTTCATGCATAAAGTATTATCAGCAACACCTACGTTGCTTTGCTGGAAATGTGGAGAATGTGCAAAACTTTCTCAACATCCTAGAGGGTCAGGTCCAAGTGTCTGGCACACACTGAGATGCTCACATCATAAGAACCCTCCATTCACTGCTCACTTTTCTTTCCCTTCCAAAGTCTGAGAAAATGAGGCCCAAGAACCCAGTATCAGTGGGAAGTTGATTAAAGGCAATTGAAGTTGTCTCAGTAGCAGCTCAGTTACTTAAAATCAGAGATTTCCATATGCAGCCTCAAGTCTCTAAGTTCATGGCCCCTAGTTTCAGCTGCTTCTTCCTTGGTGGGAGGTCTGCAGCCTCTGGACCAAACATTGGTACGTGATGAGTCAGTCCAGTAGATATGTGGTTAGTGTTTGGTTGCATCACTAAGAAGAGACCATGGAAAACTCACCTTGGGGTTTGGAGAGGCAGAAAACAGGGGTTTGACCACAAAAAGCATGCAAGGATGTCTGCTGAAGATGATAGCTGCTGTAGCCAGGTCTTCATAACTGTGAAATCCCATTTATGATCTCAAACGCTAGCTCAGAAAGCAGATAACACTCCGTCCTCTCCCTTAGTTTCTGCTCAAGAAGTTGCCTTCTCTCTTGTAACAGTAAAGACACTTACGGCCTCCTGAAAGAAAAATCTTTTCTGTGACATGAAATGATTACTCGTTGAGCAGACACAGAGTAGCAATGATAGAAGCCTTTCAAGTTGCTAAATTTCATCAGAAAGAAATCTCTAACCTTAACTATAGCAACAATTTTAGAAATAATCAAGCAATGAAACCCCCCCCCACCTTAGATGAAAAATGCACACTCTGACAACGGTCCCATGAGATTCTAATTTGCCTTACTAAGGTCCCAGTCCCCACTGAACACCAAGCTAAAAGACATTCATTCTAAAGTTAATGTATCTTGACCTTTTTATTTTATTTCTATTCCCCCATTCCAACTTACCTCTATCATGTTTGCTTATTTCTATTCAGTGCTACGCATTTACAATGACAGGAACATTTTTAATTGCAAATAGATTCTTCTCTCCTACAGTACGTTCCAACAAGGTTCCCTTCCCCCACTCCTACCCCACACTTCCTTTCTCTACAGACCCACCCCCTCTCCATTTTCAGCAAGAACAGTTTCTAACTCCAAAGAGTATCTGACTTCAGCTTGCAACAAATAAAAGGTAGGAATGGAAAACTTATGATATTTGTATGGGGTTTTTTTTTTGTTTGTTTTGTTCTTTTATTTGTCCTCAACCCATTCTGAGCTGCTGCACAGCTACCGGAATATGTTCTCTGATATATTTTTCAGTTTTTATTATGTACATTTTTGATCTGGGGATTTAAGTTTTAATTTGAGCTCTATTGCTGGGCAGATATGTGATATAGGAGTTGATATGATCATTAACACGTTATATACATGTATGTGCTTTTCAAAAAAATGAATGGCTTAAAAATTCTGAGTGAGGAAAACCCAAAACTAAAAAATTAGAAACAAGCAATATATATTTTTGGAGATAAAATGAAGCAGAATGAAAAAGAAGTAAATATAATCCCTGATGAACAACTAGTATTTGTCCAGAACCATCTACAAATAATCACAACACAATTTTAGAAAGCTTTGCAAGAAAGTGTTACTGCCTTGAATTGCAAAAGTAGGAAAAGAAGCTTCAGGACTTTTATCCAATCCATCTCCTCCTTTCTTGGCCACATCTTCCTCCCATCTTCTTGATTTCTTTTCATCATAGTCCATTTGAATCTAATCAATGCTCTTTGTACACGTGCTTATAGAGACATCTGTTGGAGCATGAGCTGCCTAACAGGGGCCACTTTCATGAAAAGCATCAACTCAATCTGCCTCAACAGGCTTCAACTAACAAAGCTTCAGGAACTGAAGGGTTATTGTCCCTGACAAGTAAGTTTATGCTGCTGTTTTTCTAAGTTAACTTTAATGTATAATGTGAACTAATTGTGTAGTAGCAAAGTCTGGAGAACATAGCACAGTGGCTCCAAACTGATAACTTCAGCATCAGTTTGTTAGATTTGATAAAGATGCAGTATTTTTAAAGGTCTAGCAGGTCTTCTGTTTTATGCTAACTACTGATGTCTGTCACTAAATTATCATTTATGTGACAGAAAAGTATTACAGCTATTCAGAACCAAGAAAAGATGATGCCACATTCCATGTTTTCTTTTTTAATTTTATTTTACTTATGTATTTATTTATTGCAATTTATTCACTTTGTATCCGCACTGCAGCCCCCTCCCTCATCTCCCCCCAGTCCCACCCATCCTCCCTCTTCTCCTTTCCCTAGTCCACTGAAAGGGAAGGACCTCCTCCCCTTCTGTCTGACCTTAGCTTATCAGGTCTCATTAAGGCTACCTGCATTGTCTTCTTCAGTGGCCTGGCAAAGCTGCACTCCCCCACAGGGGGAGGTGATCAAAAAGCCTGCCACTGAGTTCATGTCAGAAACAGTCCCTGTGCCCCTTATTAGAGAATCCACTTGGAAACTGAGAGCCAATGGGCTTCCGTTGAACAAGGGGTCTAGATCCTCTCCATGCATGGTCCTTGGTTGGAGTATGGGTCCCTGCAGGTTCCCCTGGACCTAGGTATTTTGGCTCTGTTGATCTCCTTGTGGAGATCCTTATTTCTCAGGTCTTTCTATCTCCCTCTTCTTCCCTAAGGTTTCTGGCACTCTGACCGAAGTTTGGCTATGAATCTCAGTATCTCCTTTGATACCCTGGTGGGTAGAGTCTTTCAGATGTCCTCTGTGGAAGGCTCCTGTCCTGTTCCTTGTCTTCTCCTACTTCTGATGTCTATCCTTTTTGCCCTTCTGAATGAGGATTAAGCATCTTCCTTAGGGTCCTCCTTGTTGTTTAGCGTCTTTAAGAAGCTACATTCCAGTTTTAACTTTCAATCATGAACTCAAAGAAATAGGATTGCTTCACCTCAAGAGCCAAGACCAACTAGTCTAAGAATATAGCAATAGTTCATAGGTTCGAGAAGTAAAAATCCATGGGTTAAAAAGGCCAGTCTGAAAACCAGAGCAGAGTGAAAGGGGAAAGGAACTTCATCAACAATATAACTTCTCTACTTCAGCTCTTAGAAGTTGTACAGGTTCATAAAAAGCCCTTTTACTACTGTGTCTTTGCTACTCACTGAAACTGTGAGACTGCAAAATATTATTTTCAAAAAGACATTAATTAAAAGAGCAATGTGGTTCATGCCCATAATTTCAGAACTGCAGAGGTGAGGCAAAATTATGAATTAGTCAAAGTCATCATCAGCTATGTAGAAAGTTTGAGGCTAGCCTGGCACACATGAGACCCTGTTTCAATAAAAAGAGGAAATCAGAAAAAAAAAAAAAGACTAAAATAATCTCTAATTTTTTGAGGGAACTATACAGGTCCCATGGGCAACCCATGTCTTTTGTAACTAGATCAGTTCATAAATTTGCTCTCTGCCAATGCTTTGAATAGAGGAGGTAATTATTTGTTTATTCAACAAATGAAGAAGATTGAACACATTCTAGGATTATTTGCTTCTAATCTCTCTGGTTTTGTATTTCAGTTTTGCCAGTTTCAATCCGTCACTAACATTTCTATGATTCGTTTCAGGAGTCGTCTCCACGTACCATGACACCAGGACCCTTGGGAAATGGAAGCATGTCCTCCACTTTCTTGCTGAGTGGTATCCCAGGGCTGGAACACATGCACATCTGGGTCTCCCTCCCCCTGTGCCTGATGTACCTGGTTTCCATCCTGGGTAACTGCACAGTTCTCTTCATCATTAAGACAGAGCCCTCACTCCACGAGCCTATGTACCTCTTCCTGTCCATGCTCGCTCTGACAGACCTGGGTCTCTCTCTTTGCACCCTTCCTACCGTGCTGGGCATCTTTTGGGTGGGAGCACGAGACATTAGTCATGATGCTTGCTTTGCCCAGCTTTTTTTCATTCACTGCTTGTCCTTTTTGGAGTCCTCTGTGCTTCTCTCTATGGCCTTTGATCGCTTTGTGGCCATCTGTCGCCCGCTGCATTACGCTTCCATTCTTACCCACACGGTAATAGGGAGAATAGGTCTGGCTTCTCTGGGACGTAGCGTTGCGCTCATTTTCCCATTGCCTTTTATGCTCAAACGATTCCCTTACTGTGGCTCCCTAGTTCTCTCACATTCCTATTGTCTCCACCAAGAAGTGATGAAATTGGCCTGTGCAGACATCAAGGCAAACAGCGTCTACGGCATGTTCGTCATTGTTTCTACAGTGGGGGTGGACTCTCTGCTCATCCTCTTCTCCTATGCACTCATCCTGCGCACTGTGCTGTCTATTGCCTCTCGGGCGGAAAGGCTCAAAGCTCTCAATACGTGTGTTTCACACATCTGTGCTGTGCTTCTGTTCTACACGCCCATGATCGGCTTGTCTGTAATCCACCGCTTTGGGAAGCAGGCACCCCATCTGGTTCAGGTGGTCATGGGCTTTGTGTATCTTCTCTTCCCTCCTGTGATGAACCCCATTGTCTACAGTGTCAAAACCAAACAGATCCGGGATAGGGTAACCCATGCTTTTTGTAACTAGATCAGTTCATAAATTTGCCATCTCTGCCAATGCTTAAGTAGAGGAGATAATTATTTGTTTCCTCCACAGATATAGAAGGTTAAACAAATTGATTACATAGTTAACGTTTTCACAGATGAATATGGAAGGATATAATACAGAATAGTATGGTAAATCATAATTTCCAAAAATTTTCAGCAGAATATGGCTAATGTTACTTTCTGTTCAAGAAATGAAATTTCTTAACATCAAGACAAAAGGTCCACTTGTTCTCTTCTTTTATTCATTCATTTCTAACTTTATTTGTAAATGTTCTGCTTAATGTCTGCTTGTGGAACCCAACCACCACACAGAGAAGACTAAATTCCATGAAGAAACCATATGTAGAATTTCTGTCCAAAACGCCCAGCTCATATGAGAGCATTAATTAAATCAATCCACACCCGTGAGTTACAGTAATTCATATCATTCCAGCCCTCATCTTTCTAGCCTTTCCAGTAAGCAATCAGTAAAGGAATCAATTCTAGTGTGAGTCTAATCCTAATGCATATTTGTAAACAAAAGAAAATTATAAGACACTAAAGTTTGGATCAGTTTTTAATTTTGTTGCTTAAAGTAAAATGTAACTAGGATGAATAGCAGTAAAGAGAAATGTTCTTCAATCAGGGGCCACTTCAGGAAAGAGAGGATAAAGAAAGCTCTCTTTACAGTGACATAATAATCACCTTAGACGACATGTGATAGTTTGGCTATTAAGATTGTGGAAGGGAGAGGCTAATATTCTGAGTTGCTGGAACAGCTTGTGCGAAGCTGAGAAGAGATGAAAAATAACAGTGTATCCAGGGAATTAATTCGTTTTAACTTTTAAATTTTATATATATTTATCTGTGTGAGATAGACAGTGAGAGTGTGCATGCACGTGTATGTTCCTGCATGTACAAAGGGCATCAAGTCCCTCAGAGCTGCAGTTGAGGCTGTTCATGAGACGCTCCTCTTCTTACTTGGGTGTTGGGATCTGAATTAAGTTGTGAGTGCTGTTTATCGCTGAGACGTCCCTCCAGGTCTGAGGTATGTTTTTTTTGTCATTGTTGTTGCTGCTGGTGCTGTTCCCTTGTATGTCTGGGAAAAGTTCAGAACAAGGAAAGGTAAGTGGAAAAAGATCAGTCATAGAGGACATCAGAATGGTCAAAATTAAATGAACAAATAAAAACTATTTATTATGTCCTTTGATTGGTGCACCATGATTCTGCCAATGCATTGCTAGAGATTAGAAGCTATTTTCTGAAAAAAAATATATATATATATATTAATAGAATATTTGTGGATTTCGATTGGAGATATTTATGGAGAAAAATGGAACTTATACGAAGCTGCGAAGGGGATTTTAGAGCACCTAAAGGAAAGCATGGGTATGACATGCTCCTACACATCAGTACATAATACAGAATTCAAATAATGACCCCTAAACACAGAGCTCCCTGTGAGAGGTGTGTGGGGGACGTTTCTCTCACACTGGTCACACACACACACGCACACGGCACTCACCACCAGAGCCTCATCTTTTCTATCATGAAAAAGCCTCTTCTACAATAACTTCCATATATGTAATTTAAGCATGTGAGAAAGCCAAGAACATCAGTGTATAGAAAACAGTATGAAATGTGAGATTATTTTAAATTTTATTTATTTACTTACTTTACATCGCGATGGCAGTTTCCTCTCCCTCATCTGGGATGGAACACTGTAAGTGCTTTGTATTATATGTGTCAGGAAACACACAACTTCACAGGAACATGAAGCAATTGAAATTTCTGAGGCTTGATGTCGTTCCACAATGCAACTCTATGTTTATGAAGACTTGTATTTGGATTTGTGATTCCAGTACCACAAGTACAATGAACTACACCCTCTGATACCTTACAATGAATTAAAGAGCTGTGTGTTCAGAAGGCTCAGGCTTCTGTATGACTTGGGTAATTACAGTAGGCTTATTTGATCTAATTGTAGCTAAAAATTTCCATCTTGCAAAGCTGTCTACATTTACATGACAATTTCTAAGAATAGATACTGAGTGTTCTTAACAAAAACATAGGCAAATCAATGCATGTTAAATTTAGCTATTTCACAATGTATGCACTCTTTAAAATAATACCAATGTGCTAAATATGTATAATTTTTATCTTCCAACTAGAAAAATAAAAGGATTGGGGCACACTGAGGTTTCTAAATTTACAACTTAAAAAAAAAGTTCCAAAGGAAATTCTTAGCAGATTTTTTTCTACTTACAATAAATTTCAGTTTCTTTCATTTATTAAGCAAACAAAAACCATGGAAGCATAAAGTCAAACATAACATGGAAAATGTATGATAAGCAAATAAGACAGGTTGGAATGGCCCTGAGGGTCAAGGGTCAAGGCTGGCTTTCTAGATAGGCATTTGTAGATGGGTGGGACTATCTGAAACATAAAAAATGGAGTACAGAGCTAAACAGGGGATTCGCAATAGAGGAATATCGAACGGCAGAGAAACACTTAAAGAAATGCTCAAGCTCATTAGCCATCAGGGAAATACAAATTAAAACGACCCTAAGATTTCACCTTACACCCATCAGAATGGCAAAGATCAAAAACTCAAAAGACAACACATGCTGAAGAGGTTGTGGAGAAAGGGGAACCCTCCTCCACTGCTGGTGGGAATGTAAACTTGTACAACCACTCTGGAAAGCAATCTGGCGCTTTCTCAGACAATTAGGAATAGCGCTTCCTCAAGATCCAGCCTTACCACTCCTAGGCATATATCCAAAAGAGGCTCAAGTACACAATAAGGACATTTGCTCAACCATGTTTGTAGCAGCCTTATTTGTAATAGCCAGAAGCTGGAAACAGCCCAGATGCCCCTCAGTGGAAGAATGGATGCACAAATTGTGGTACATTTACACAATGGAATATTACACAGCAATAAAAAACAAGGAAATCATGAAATTTGCAGGTAAATGGTGGGATCTGGAAAACATCATCCTGAGTGAGCTAACCCAGAAGCAGAAAGATGCACACGGTATATACTCACTCATATAGACATATAATATAGGATAAACCTACAAAAAATCTGTACATCTATAGAAACTAATCAAGAGGGAGGGCTCTTGCTAAAATGCTCAGTTCCTATCCAGAAAGGCAAAGAGGATGGACATCAGAAGAAGGAGAAAAGAGGGAACAAGTCAGGTCCTCTGACACAGAGGACCTCTGAAAGGCTCTGCCCTGCAGACTATCAATGTAGATGCTGAGACTTATGGGCAACCTTTGGGCAGAGTGCAGGGAATCTTATGAAAGAAGTGGGAAATAGTAAGATCTGGAGAAGACAGGAACTCCACAAGGAGAGCAACAGAACCAAAATATCTGAGCCCAGGGGTCTTTCCTGATACTGATACTCCAGCCAAGGATTATGAATGGAGATAACCTAAGACCCCTGCACAGATGTAGCCCATGGCAGTTCAATATCCAAGTGGGTTCCATTGTAATAGGAACAGGGACTGTCTCTGACATGAACTTATTGGCCTGCTCTTTAATTACCTCCCCCTGAGGGGGAAGCAGCCTTACCAGGCCACAGAAGAAGACACTGCAGACACTCCTGATGAGACCTAATTGACTAGGATCAGAAGAAGGGAAAAGAAGACCTCCCCTATCAGTGGACTTGGGGAGGGGCATGCGTGCAGAAGGTGGAGGAAGGGAGTGATTGGGACAGGAGGAGGGAGGGAACCACAAGGGGGATACAAAGTGAATAAAGTGTATTAATAAAGAATTTAAAAAAAAATTTAAAAAATGAAAAAAAGAATGATCTTTAGCTGAGTTTTGTACATTATGCTGATATGATCCAGGTAAAATGGAAGAGGTGTTGTATTCTAAGCAAAGCAAGAAATGTCAAAATGCAATAAATTTTGTTATTTATATTATAAATAAGATTATATTATTTTATATATTTATAAAATTTTATAACTTAATTATAATATAATTCTTGCTAAGAACTACTCAGGGCTGGGCTTTTATCTCAGTGGCAGTCTTTCCTTAGCAGGAGCAAGGCCTTAAATACTACAGAAAGAATGCGGAAAAGTTCTGCAGGTGTGATAAAGTGGTAGGCTGAAAGGAGGAGGAGGCCTGGAGGAACAGCCAGGAGTTCGTGGGAACGAGCACTTGAAGGGCTGCATAGATTTGGTAGCTCGTTTAACACATATTAAGTGTCTACTCACACCAACCAGTTTTCCTGGATTTATGAATAAGTAGTGGACAAAGCAGACAAGACTCTACCCTTGAGAGCGTCTGATAGGGTTAGGTAACCAATAAACATGAATCTTAATAAAAAAAGCAAACAACGGTAGAAATGTTAAAAGTTGAGTAAGAAATGCTCTAGAAGGTTGAATTTTGTAAAGAACGAGGAAATCTTCACTGAGAAGGAAATATTTAAGGATATGTGGCACATGGCAGGAAGCTATTGTGAAGGGGTACAGGTTCTAAATGTACAGAAGATTATGTGGAAAATCTGGAGCTAGAGTGGGTTTGTATGAACAATGCCATGCATGTAATACCTTTAGAATGAAGAGAAAATCAAGAAAGAGAGGTACTGTTTCTATGTCACGTAGGTAGGTCATTGATCAATTTAGCATTTCAAGTAAAATGAGGTGGAAAATCATTGGAAAATTGCTGCCATGGATAGAGTATATATAGAATTGATTATAGGAGGAAGCAAGGGAAAATAAGTTAACGGTTATTGTAATAATCCTGGAAAGAAAAGGTGCTGGTTGGGAGCAAAGGGTAATAATAGAAATGGAAGTAAATGGTTATATCTTCCAAGTAGGCACAATGAAATTTAGTTGAAAATTGACATTAAAGGGTTTATACATCAAAACAGGATATAAAAATCAATAAATTGTAAAAAAAAAAAAAACAAACAAAATATAATAAGACTAATAAAGTTTACACACCATTGTGGAGGAATATTGTGATTTATTAAGCCGTGTACAAGGATCTCTATGGTTCCTAGAAGGAAAAAATGAACATGAAGGAAGAAAGAGAGTGAAAGGAATGAAGACTATCTCAAGCCCTGCTTTGTTTTTTGTTTGTTTTTTGTTTGTTTTTAAACATAGAATTCATTTCTAGGTCATAAACAACTAACTGCTTTATAATGATCATGCTTGGTGAAAGCTATCTAAGTAATTAGAAGTCATTCTTACTTGTCTGGGAGGAATGAGTGGGTACTTTTAACTTGTGACATCATATGCAGGCAAAAAAAATAAACAAAAAGCAAAAACAAGCAAACAAAAACATGCACATAAGAAGATGTGATGTTTTAATTCCTGCCTGTGTCTCACAATCACCTTGAGAGCCTCAGCTCAGTTCTACTATAAACTCATGACTGAATGGATGGCCAGCTCCTGTCTCCTGCTATGATAATGTGGATTGTCTTGAGAGATGAGACTAATATCTCTTTTGTCTATGTACCCATGAATCTCTTTTATTTCTTTCATAAGCTTTGGATTCACTTAGGAAACAAGAAGTTCTCAAAGTTTTATGGAATTCCGGGGTTGTTCCTGAGAGGTTCTGAAATCACAGTTGTTGTTGTTGTTTTGTTGGTGGTGGTGGTGTTTCTTTGTTTTGGTTGTTGTTGTTGTTTTGTAATGGTATAAAGATAGCTAAGATTTTTATTTGTTTAAATTTTCATTGGAGTTCGGTCACACTTTCTGAGGTTTTCCAAAATACACTATTGCAATAAATCAAATACATGTTTAGCATCATTTGGTATTCCACCTTTCTTATATTAAGCTTGAAAAAAAATAATGCAATTTGTAAAAAAAAGATGACCCTTACCTTTTCAATAAGTTCTTTTAGTTTCATATCACTGTGTTACCTTCAGAAAGGTGTCATGCACATTAATATTAATTTATTATCATGATTTTCACAAATTCACCAACCCATATTTAGTGTTAGTTTCAATTTGAATATCATAACCATGACTATGATCCCCTACTAAAGCTTTGAAAGGTAGAAAAAGAGGCCAAGGCAATACATTTAGAGTAAGAAGAGAAAAAACACTATGCAATAACCCCCACGTCTTAGCTCCTAGAGTAATTAATATGTTGCTGCATGCTGCAGAAGCTACTCTGCAGATACAATTACAGCAGCACATCTTGAGCGTGGAACAGGATCTTGATTAATACAAATCCTTAAGAGGTTTTCTGACAGCGGCCAGTGTTGGAAACGCAGCTACGGGCTGTGTTGAAGGCACGCTGAGGTGCAGTGCCGTTTGTTTTGAGGCTAGAGGAAGTGTCGTCCATATGTTCTGAAATGCAGATGATGTCTAGAAGCTGGGAAAGGTGAGGAAGAACTTTTTCTCAGTGACCTCAGAAAGAAACCTGGGTGTGTCTGCTCTTTGATTTAGCCCTGTTCAGCTTATGTGTTTTAGGATAAGTGACTAGAGGGTGAAAATATGTCTATTGCATTTAGCCATGTGATGTATGATTGTTTTTGATGTACTAGAAAACAAATTTAACCCTGCAGAGTCTACCAGACCAGAGGCTAAGACGTAAGTTAACAAGCATAATGGCATATTCATGTTGCCCAAAGTACAAGACAGAAATGTTGATCTAGAGCAGAGCATCCATAAATGATGCAGATGAATGTGTGGAGACAGGAATTCTAGTATCAGTTACTGAGAGCTAGTCTAAGATCTTAAATGAGGGCTAACTTTAAACATAAACCAAGAGCATAGCAGTGGGTATCAATGCATGATGCGCATTAGAGCTGCATGTCTGTAAAGGAGAGAGCCTCACAGTTTGATGACTGAACCTTGTGTAAAGTACAAACTTACACACAGGTATAATTCACCCACACAAGTGTTGTCATCCTTCAACTTACCTTTGATTAGTAAACAGCCTGCTGGCTTCCTGTTTCAGTCTTTCTCCATGACGCTGTGCTTAGTATGCAGTCACCTGAGACAAATTCTCAAAAAGAATTAGACCCATCACCTAAGCTTCTACTGTCTTTGAAAAGTTTGTATGTGTTTAGAGCAAGATTGCTGTCTCAGCACCCTAGATAGAATTTCATTATGGCCTTAACACCTAGATTTTCTTCTAACTGCACTTTCAACTATAAACTCTACCTTTTATTTCCTCCTTAAAATAGTTATTTTCATGAAGAATGTTAGTAAGTAAATTTTGATGAAAAAATATCTTGATACTCAATTCAGTGACCTGTAGAAACATAATTTTAAGAGCTATATTTTATGTGAATATCACAAATGCTATAGATAAAAGCCTAAACAGTAACACCACAGGGTTTAAAGCTATCTCTTAAGTACTTTCTAGAATGTGGTAACTTTCTATCAATTACATTTTTATTTTACAGCAATAAAAATAACAAGCAAACAACCGCACACTTCTGACCTCTCTCTGCCCACCCGAGATGTATGAAGGCTCATTTTATATCAGTAAAGTTGACAGCAGGGGTGCTGAGACATCCCCTCGTCTCTCCCAGATTTAGTCTATCTTGAACATGGATCCTAGATGCTACCCTTCAGCCCAAAAGACTTTCAAATGTTTCTAAGGTTCAACTCCTTTTAGATATTCCTAAACCCAGTTTAATCATTTCATCCAAAACTCTCACTCAATATTTGCCAAATTACCACTATGTGCTTTGTTAATTTGCTTTTTCCTTAATGGTATAAATATTATGTTTTACAGAAACATCTCATAAATATTAATTGAAAGATGAAATTTCTACTCAAATGTTATCACTTCTTTAAATACTGACTTAACTGCTTAGTCATAGTTATTAAATAACTGTTTTACTTAAACTCCTTTTAAAATGCTAATCTAAATCATGCCACATTTCTCAGCTCTTTCTTCTACAGTTATGCAGAACGTTCTCAGTGCTGTTATAAATTCTGTACATGACAGAATTTCAGTGTCTCACTCCAGTCCTTCCCTGGATAATAACCACCATGACTGAAACAGCTGGTGCTAGTCCCTACTGACAGATGATCTATTACTTTTATCATCCAGTCCTTATCTCACACATAATTTAACCAATGTCCCCAGGACCTTCTCCCGGATTTGTCGAGTATTTACGGTACCCGGTGGGGTTCATCAGGGGTTGCACCAGCAAGAACATATCTGAATAAGGATTACAGGAAGGGGCTTTTGTTCTTGGCAAAGCGATGTATGGCAGCCAGGGTGATGATGGGCATGTAGAAGATGAGCACAGCACAGATGTGCGAGACGCAGGTATTCAGGGCCTTAAGCCTTTCTGCCAGAAATGCGATGCTCAGTACTGTCTTCAAGATTAGCATGTAAAACAAAAGAATCAGGGCAAAGTCCAGCATGGTACAGAGTGTCACAAAGAAGCCGTAGATGAAGTTGATCCTGTTGTCAAAGCAGGCCAGTTTCATGACATCCTGATGAAGGCAGTATGAGTGAGAGAGGAGATTCTTTTGACAGTATTTCAATCTCCTTAGAGTGAAAGGAAATGGAAGCACTAAAATTGTGCTCCTGAAGGCTAAAATTAGCCCCATTTTAGCAACTCTGCTGCCAGTGAGGATAGAACTGTATCTTAAGGGTTTGTGAATGGCAAGAAAGCGGTCAAAAGACATAATTAGAAACACAGAGGATTCCATGACAGTGAACCCATGGATAAAGAACTCTTGAGCAAAGCAGGCATTGGGCGAGATTACCATGGCATTGAAAAAGAAGATCCTAAACATGGTAGGAAGAGAAGAGAAGGACAGACCCACATAGGAGACAGCCAACATAGTAAGGAAATAATGCATGGGTTCATGAAGGGAGGGCTCCGTCTTGATGACAAAGGTGATAATGCAGTTACCCATGATGGCAGTGAGGTACATGAGAAAGATGGGGAAGGAGAGCCATGCGTGTGCATGTTCTAGTCCCGGGATCCCAATTAGAAGAAAATACTTGACCTCGGAGTTGTTGAAGACAGACATGTGTGGGAATGAGAGCTCCTTAGCTGTATCTGAAACTGTGTGAGAAAAAGACAGTCATTCTTGTAAGCGATATTCCGTTTTACAGGAATGAGTTTTGTACTTTGCAACAAAACACATTTAGCATACGCAGCTAGTACATTCTTCCAAAGCTACTGTAAGTCGATCAGCATGTTAACATCCTCCAATTTGCTAAATACACCTCTAACAACTTTTCTAAATTGCTGACAGTTCAACTCCTTTTGTTGGATCAGTTGAAAGATTCCCCACATTTCCTTAAGCACTAATTTCCCCACACAACCTTAAGCAATTTCCATGTTGACTTTACCACAAGTTCCTGAACTTGACAGAAGAAAGTCTGAAACAGTAGTCTACTAAAATGCTCAGAGATCACTGAAAATAGTTTGGAAAGCAAGTGTGAGCGATTAATGTCTTAGTCTTGTCTTGAATGTCTTACTCTTAAGAGGCAAGTTTCATCATGCATATTTTATCTTATCTATATTATATGTCTATATCTGTATATTAATATATTTATCAGTAATTTTATAAAAATAAAAACAACAAAGGTTGTTCAAGCAGGTGTACCTCTTCTTTGATTTGTCTTAATTGATCTGCTCTGCCTGACTGACCTGAGGCTCATTTTATATCAGTAAAGTTTATTCAATCAGTAGATTTTTATGCTACAGATACTCGTGAAGATTCAAATACGTATATAAAAACATCACTTTACAAATATTTTAAAATATTAGCATTGCTTACACACTAGTTTCTAACACGATGTGGTAAATAACTCTGAAAGCTTTTCTTATTTCCTAACTTAAGCTTCTTTGGGTCACACTTCAGGTTTTCATCTTACTATTTCGAAGGCAATTTGAACGGTGCTGTCATTTGATGAATACACTCCACTCACCGTAACAGACCTGATTGGACTATTTTATTCTGATCACTATGATTGATTAGATAAAATTATCTAATTTCAGAAACAAATCCAAACCATGTAATTTCCCTTTGAAATATAAATATTAAAGATGCACCCACATTACAAACTAAAACCTTATTGTATTCTTGGGGTCACTAACCAAAAGTTTGTTATTTGATTTTCAGATCCAATATATAATCTTGAAATTTATATTTTTTAGATTCAAGATAATCCAGTGTTAAAATATTCAAAGTAACGCAAATATAAAACATAGTTAACATAAACTATTCTATCTTTAAAACTATATCTGAATAAATATTTAAGTTAACAAAAATTATCAAGCTAATTTGAAATTTAAATATATCCAAATTTGTAACAATGAAGAAGAACCAAGAAAAGGGCATAGCTACAAGAACAAGTTAGTAAATAACTTGCTAATAACTTCATTTAATAAGTGCTTATATCAGGATTGCTATAGACTATTTTTATAAAACTCAAAACAATAGATCATTAGAATCATTGATATAATAGTTGGTGCCTAGGACTGTAAGAACAAATGAGATGGCCAAGGTGGAAAAATGTACAAAATATAAATTTGAATCTTGTATAACCTTAGGAGCTGCAAGATTTTTGAGAATGTCATGTGCTGGAAACAGTTGGAAGAATGATTTGAGGATAGTACGCAATCACGCATTTCCCAGAGCACTTAGAATATCTATAGTTTAGCTAAGAAACAAGACCTTGCATGATTGCATGAACATCTGGACAAAATGACCAGCCAGACAGCTCACTCTCTGGAATTCTAAGACAGCAAATATATTATCTCTTTCCTTAAACATTGTGAATCAGAGTCTCTGCCCCTGAGCTACCTTAGACGCGTGATGTGGCCTCTCACGTGCCGCTAATCAGTAGCAGGAGCTACTTTCACAAATAATTCATGGAAAATTGGCTGATCACATGCGAGACTGGTCAGATAGCTGCATTTTACTGATCACAATAAATTTGATATTTTATATTTGGTATTTTATATTTTAAATAAAAATATACTTGATATTTTAATCAAGTGAATGAGATGCTATGAATGTTAGAATATTGGCAAATAGGCTGGTACTTACCTTGTTTAACCATCAGATCATTCAACACACACACACACACACACACACACACACACACACACGCTAATACAAAACAAACACCTGGACTTGCAAACATGCATGAACCCACCAACCACCCACACACATGAACACACACAAATTTTCCTAGACAGGCACAGTCCAAAGCTGCTTCCTCTTTCTTTGCATAATTATATATTCAAACATAATCCACTTAGAAAAGCTTTAATTTTAAGTCTACAATGAAAGGTTCAGCTCCTTGTCCTTACCAGAAGTAGGAGTCCCTGAAAGCTAAGTGCAAGAGCCTTCTACTGTGCCCTCTTCTTTATCTAGATCAGTCTCTTCTGTTTCTGGGTAGTATAGCCCTCTGGGAGTTGAGGGAAGTCTCCTGGGCGTTCTGACAGTAAACTTAAAAAGAACATGGTCGGTCTGTGAGTTAACTCCTCAGTGCCCAGGTATCAGCAGGAGCCAGACACAGGTTAACAACTGATGAGTACCTGTGTGAGAGGAAAACAGTGGAAATTAAAATGACGCTTGAGAGAGAACCTCTAAAAGACTCTACCCAACAGGGTATCAAAAAAGATACTGAGTCATAGCCAAACTTTGGCCAGAGTACTGGAATCCTTATGGAAGAAGAGGGAGACAGAAAGAGCTGGAGGAGAGAAACTTCATAAGGAGAACAACAGCCAGAATATCTGGGCCCAGGGGGATCTGCAGAGAACGATAGATACTCCCAACAAAGGACCATGCATGGAGAGGACCTAGACCCCCTGTTCAAAGGAACCCCATTAGCTACTCAGTTTCCAAGTGGGTTCCCTACTAAGAGGTACAGGGGCTGTCTCTGACATGAACTCAGTGGAGGCTCTTTGATCACGTCCCCCTGGTGGATGCAGCCTTACCAGAGGAAGACAATGCAGCTAGCCTTGATGAGACCTGGTAAGTTAGGGTCAGAGAGAAAAGGAGGGGGTCCTCCTCTATCAGGGGACTAAGGAAAGGGAATGGGGGGGAGAGGGAAGGTGGGTGGGACTGGAAGAAGATGAGAGACGAGGCTGCAGTGTGGATACAAAGTGAATAAATGGTAATAAATAAATAATAAATAAATAAATATTTTTTTATGGAATCTTATGTAAGAAGTGGGAAATAGTAAGAGCTGGAGAGGACGGGAACTCCACAAGGAGAGCAACAGAACCAGAAAACTTGAACACAGGGAACTTCCCAGAGACTCATACTCCAACCAAGGACTATTCGTGGAGATGACCTGGAACCTCTCTCTGCACAGGTGTAGCCCATGGCAGTTCAGTGTCCAAGTGGGTTCCATAGTAATGAGAACAGGGACTGCCTCTGACATAATCTGATTGGCCTGCTCGTTGATCACTTCCCCCTGAGGGGGAAGCAGCCTTACCAGGCCACAGAAGATGACAATGCAGCCACTCCTGATGAGGTCTGATAGACTAAGATCAGAAGGAAGGAGAGGAGGACCTCCCCTATCAGTGGACTTGGGGAGGGGCATGCGTGAAGAAGGGGGAGAGAAGGTGGGATTAGGGGAGGAGGGAGGGGTTTATGGGGGGATACAAAGTGAATAAAGAGTAATTAATAAAAGTTTTTTAAAAGTATATTAAATTAGCTACAAATTATAATTAAATTAATAAATTATTTAATTTAAAAAAAAACAATTAAAACTTTCCTAAACATGGCAGGGCAGCTGCACATAAGACCTCAGTGGTTATGGCAGTATACACAAAACCTGGGCAAACTCTAGCTACACACAATGTGAGCATGAAGAAGGGAGTGGATGTGAATTCCCATCCTTAACCAAGGAGCTATAGGCAATTGAGAGCAGCAGGGGGAAGAGTCGATATTCATGTGACTCCAGGTAGGTTGGTCATAATCCCATGGAAGGGGAAAGAATATACAGGCAGCATAAAATATTGGGTGGATAAGGAAACAGGGTGGATCTGGGTAGGAATGGGGTAAAGAAGGTGGATGCGATCAAATTAATTGTACAAAATTCTTAAAGAACTAATAAAAATAATAAAAAGGACACCAAAAATAAAAAATAAAATAAAATGAAGCTTGAAATGCGACATTTACATAGGTTTGGAGGGGGAGGGGACTACAGCTAGGATACAAAGTTAATAAACTAATTAATAAACATAAATTAAATTTTTAAGATATTAAAAAATAATAATGGACTTGGTTTAATCAAATATTCTAATTCAAACTCCAAGGCATACTACTGAACTTTCAGGTTAGTTTCATCATTCATAAACTAGTAAGTGATACACAAAAAAACAAACATTTCTGAAACCAATTTACAAGTCCCCAAATGTTTTTTCACTAATTCACTGTTGTTAAACAGTGAAGCACATGTAATTTTTTCACTTTTCAAAACTTATTTATATTTTTATAAATTATAGTTTATTCAATTGGTATCCATGCTGTAGCCTCCTCCCTCGCCCCTCCCATTTGTACACTCTCTCCCCCAGTCCACTGATAGGGGAGGTCCTCCTCTTCTTCCTTCTAATCCTAGTCTATTACAAATAAAGCTGCTACGAACATGGTTGAACAATGTCCCTGTGTACTTGAGCCTCTTTTGGGTGTATGCCTAGGAGTGGTATGGCTGTATCTTGAGGAAGCGCTATTCCTAGTTGTCTGAGAAAGCGCCAGATTGATTTCCAGAGTGGTTGTACAAGTTTACATTCCCACCAGCAGTGGAGGAGGGTTCCCCTTTCTCCACATCCGCTTCAACGTGTGTTGTCACTTGAGTTTTTGATCTTAACCATTCTGATGGGTGTAAGGTGAAATCTCAGGGTTGTTTTAATTTGCATTTCCCTGATGACTAAGGACATTGAGCATTTCTTTAAGTGTTTCCCCACCATTAGATATTTATTCGATATTGAAAATTCTCTGTTTAGCTCTGTACCCCATTTTAATTGAATTACTTGATTTATTGCTTTTTAACTTCTTGAGTT